GGGGAAGGAACGCTTCTCCCCGGCCCCCCCCCCGCCGCACGAGCCCTGGGTGCTGGCTGGGACGTCCTCTCTGCCCGGGTGGCCGGGCTCTCCCGGGGAGCCCCGTGCGACCTCCCCTGGTGGCATCTCCAAGGCTTTCCGGTCCTCCTCAGCCGGGAGCGGGGCATCCACGCCGACCTCCAGCACTCGGATGGTTTCGTGGCTGGACATGACAATAACCTGCAAACGTGCCCCAAAACGCCCATCAGCTCCGGGCAGCCGACCCCACAGTGGTGTCCCCTGGGCCACCCACCCCATGGAGCAAAGCAGGTCCCCTTGCCCCGCTGGACACGTCTTAGGGTGACCTCAAAAACCAAGCAGAGCCCACCCCATCCCCTCAAGGAGGGATGGATGGATGGGGGGGTCGCAGCCCCACCAGCACCTTGCTGCTTTAGTTAATCAGCAGCTTCTGGGCTCTGATAAGCCCAGCTCTGCGTGCGTTGCTGGATGGCATCTTCAGGAGGTAAACCCCGGCCGTCGGCGGCCGCAGCCCCCCTGGCAGCGCCGTATCTGCAGCGCTGGAGCAAGCAGACCCCCCAGCGGCTCTGACCCAGGGTTGGGCAAGCCCTCTGAGCCACGATACACTTTCCCCTGCGTGACATTTACTTGGGGACACCCGGGGACTGACAAGCAGAGAGGCTGGCTCCTCCTCCAGCTCTCCGGCAGCGGTGGCAGCCGAACCCCAGAGCAAAGACCTCTGGCCAACAGCACCCGCAGCTTCGCCAGGCTGCCAGGACGAGGACCTCGTACCTCCTCTTCGTCATTAAAAAAACGCCGGGATGAGGCAGCCAAGCTCCAAAAGATGGAGCTGAATCTCTGCGTGCCCAAGCGAGGGGGCAAACAGGCTGGTGGGGGGCGTGGGGCAGGCACAAGGTGGTTTTTCACCCCACAAAGTAGGGCTCAGGCCGTTGCTGAACCCCAACTCCCCACCCCTTGGCCCTCCCGGTTGCGGGGCGCAGCGGGGATGGAGCCGGCGATGCCCATACCTGCTCGTTGACCGTCAGCGAAGCCTCCTGGGGTTGCACGGCTTCCGTGTCCATGGTGTCCCGGCAAAGGTGGGAGCGGGCTCAGACCTTCCACATGCTGCAAGCGGGGGACACGGGAGGGCCCGTCACCAACCCAGCGAGTGGCTCGGGGGGTCACACGCTGGCTTGACCCGGGGTGCAGAGCAAACCTGGCCTCTCCCACCACCTCTCTGGCTCTACCACCCACCTCTCCCACTCCATGCTGGCCCCGGCTGCGATTCGGGGCAGTGCAGAGCTTGCTAAGGCCCCCCCTGCCCCTCACTGTGGGGACGCAAGCTCCTCCCCAGGGGGGGGCTTTGGTGTCCTGGGTACCTCCCACCACCTCCCATCCTCTGGGCAAAGAGCTCACGGACGTGGGGGCGGCATAATTTATTGGGTGGGCACCAAACACACAAGCGGCAGAGCAAGCGAAGGGTTATTCCAAGGGCCAAGCCTCTCCCCCCTCTTTGGGAGATGAGGGTGCAATTCCTACCGCCTGCTTCGAACCCCCTAAAAAACCGCCCGTGCTCCCTCCTTGAAGCCCAGAGCAGGTCCCCGAAATCTCTGCACGATGCTTCCAGCTCGCCCGAGCCTCTGACACTGGCCAGGAGAAGGAAAGTCAACCTGCTCTTTCCTGAGGGCACCCAAATGGATGGGGATACTTCAGGAAGTTGGCGAACCAGGGTCGTTCACGGAGGGGAAGGGGCCGGGCCCACCTGTTGGAAGGCAACTCTTCCTCTTCCAACGCCCTTCATTAACTCCTTTGGTCACGTATCGTCCCCTCGCTGCCGTGCAGAAGCGTAATTGCCTTTATAAGAGGCTTATGAATTTTTTATTAGGAACGTCTTGGGGATGCGTTTAACCAGCCAGCCTGGATGACATTCAAACCCACTCGATGCATGGGCGAAGGTGTCCTTGTTTGTGTAACTGCTCGGGAGCCTGGGGGCACGCCGGTGCCGGTGGGTGCAGCCAGACCCCAGCTCTCCCTGCCCAAGCTGTCCCAAAACACTGGGCAGGGTCTGCTCACCTCCAGCCTGGGATCCGACCACCTCTGTGCTGGGCCTGATCCTGCTTCTGCCCCATGAGGATGCTGGCATCACACGGACCAGCCAGCCCAGCCCTCGGCACCAACCACCTCTGTCCTGGGCCTGATCCTGCCTCTGCCCCACAAGGATGCTGGCATTGTACGGACCAGCCCAGCCCAGCCCTTGGCACCAACCACCTCTGTGCTGGGCCTGATCCTGTCTCTGCCCCACAAGGATGCTGGCATCACATGGACCAGCCAGCCCAGCCCTCGGCACCACCCACCTCCGTCCGCGG